GGGTGGGGAGCAATTGTGAATCGTTTGCCTGTGTTGTAAGCTCTGTATTGGTATTGTTACTGTTTTCTTATCTCATTGCTGTTTCTAGTAAATTGTTCTTATCTCAACCTGTGACCTTTAGCTTTTTGTGCCTCCAACACTCCTTTCCATCCCACCTCAGGGGGAGGGTGGGGCAGTGAGTGACCAGTTCATGGTCTGGAGTTTTTCAGTGGAAACACTAAGTTGGAGAATGCCATTCCTAAACAGGACACAACTACACAACTTTGTTACCATGCAGGTGTGAGGGATGGAGCCAGGAGGGTGCAGAGGGGCACTCCTGTGTAGCAAGGCACTGCCAAGTTCCCTCCCAGCAGCTGTCCCCACCTGCGGCCATTTCATCTAAGCCAGAGGCATGGGCTTGCACAGGAGAAGTGAGCATCAGAGGCCTAGAAAATCCGGATCAGTGGCTTCTCCCTCTTGCCTTTGCAGGTTAATGTCATGCCAGGAAGCCAAGTCATGGTGTCTGGGCCATCAAAGTTGACTGACCAGCAGTAACCTGACAGGGTCACAGTGCCGTCAGAGTGCCACAAGGCCATCAGAGTGCACTGTGAGCCAGCAAGGTCTGCCCAAAGCACAGCAGGACAGCACGAAGGAGGTTGTGCAAAGCAAGGAGAGCCTAGAGCACTGAAAGCCTGAGCCTCTGGACTGGGGGCTCATAACCAGACACACACAGGGATAAAAACCATTGCTGGGTGTAGGACAGGCAGCAGTGCTGTGGGAAAGCAGCTCGGCACTGCCAGAGTGGGTCATCTATGCCCGGGGAGTTGCTGCAGGGGCGTGCTGGACACAGGCCATGCTGCTCCTTGCTCTTTGCCTCACAGTCAGCACCTATCCCACCTCCTGCTGGGAATGCTGGACTCAAGCCTAGCCCTGCAGAAGGCTGTTGGGGCAGACTGGAGTGGCTAGCCGTGGCAGGGACCGTGCTGGAAGCAGCCTAGTGCCCCTGGAGTGGCCTCGGTGCCCAGGGACATGGCATGATTGGAGGTAGAGAGATGTGGATGACATTACCCCATCCACAGATGGTCACAGAAGGAAGTCAGGCAGTGCTGTGCATACACAGGGGTGTTTGCTATGATTTCTTCCTTTCTCTGCTCTCTGGGAGCACCTGGCTATTTGTTCCATGGTTTTCTTGGACTGTGAAGTTGAGCTAAGTGACCTCTACTTATCCACTTCCTTTTCTCTTGTATCAAAGATGTCACTCCTTTTTCCTGTCCTTTGAAACCTCATCCATCCTCTACCTGCTCTCCACATTGCCCTCACTTATCCTCAGTCCATCCAATCACGTTTTCCCGTCCCCAGTGCGAGCACACGCCTCTGTCACACGCGAGAGCCTCTCTCACATCCTCAGGGCAGGCTCGGGGCAGGAGTCCCGGAGCACCCGGGTGCCGTCACCTTCTGCCGTCCCTTCCGCCGTCGGTAGGGCTCATGCGCGCACACGCACGCCCATCCATCTTCTCACGCACAGACAGACACACA